TTGGACAAACAACAGTAGTGTTCATACCTGTCCACATTTAGCCCTCTTCGATACTGAATAGAGGGTTTAGTATACCACTCCAACGACCACCACAGCAATGACCGGAGGCATAGGAAAGGATAGGTCACCCCCACCCATTCCATTCAGCATTGAGGAAACTCCAGATGTGGCTGAATCTTCACTGCTCATGATATCAGAATAAAAAAAAGAAACAGCAACCAAAAAAGTACAGCCGTACAAGGCTATTGCAGAAATAGGTCCTTCTGACCTCCGGTTTCACTGAGAACAAAAAACAGAACACTGCTGTTGCAGTACTGAAACAGGTCCTTCTGACCTACGGTTTCACTGAAACAAGTYTGMACACTGCTGTTGCAGTACAAGAACAGGTCTGAATGACCTAATTAGTAGGCCTGATAGCTAACCAGTCGAGGAGATCAACAGGGTAGCCGAACAGTCAATCAATAAGATTAATATTGAGCAGACAATCAATCGGCTGAACAGACAATCAACAGTCCACAATACAAATAAAAAAGAAGGTTGAATACAGTTACTGTGTTAAGGAATACAGTCACTTAATAGTAGGGCAGCCGAACAGACAACAGTAGGGCAGTCGAACAGTTCATCAAACAATAGGTAGCCGAACAGACAAGGATGATAGTACCTCTTTTAGTTTCAGATGATAGTCTCCCTGTAAACTAGAACTCCTTCTACGAGCCTCAAACAATAGGCAACCGAATAGAAGATGACCAGTACTTCTTTTTGGTTTCAGATGATAGCCTTTCTGAAGACAGAACACCCTCTACAAGCCTCAAACAATAGTCTCTCTACAGTCGAGCAGACAAGAGGTGCAACTTCTGGGCTGGAAGATGAAAAGACTCTGTAACTTCTGGGTCGAACTGATTTCACCAGATTAGGAGTTCAATTGGAGACAGCACTGGATGCAACAGCAGTTTGCTTGACAACTTCTGAGTCAAACTGATTTCACCCTTTAGGCTTGGACGACTTGCTCTGGTACCATGTTGAGCAAGAGCAAGAGAAGAGAGGAGAGGAGAAGAGAGAAGAGAGGTGAGTCGAGAGACTGAAAGCCCTCCAGAACTTAGGGGGCAAATGAAAGAAATTATTATTTATACTAGTCCAGTCGAACAATATAAACATAAGAGAAATTACAACAGTACCCTTGTGGTACTAAACCTGAATACACAAACAACTGTCAACATGGTATACTTAAATATGGTGTATGGATGGCAAATTCCTTAATTTTTAAGGCAAATAACAAGGGTTCAAGTCTCCTAATTTACATTTTCTTTAAAATACATGTGTAATAAAATAATATGTACAATAAAGAGTTATCAATTAACACAAGTTAAGAGGTGGACTAATGGTAAATATATGAAAATAAGAGGTCATGGGGTCAAATCTTGTTAAACACATTTTGAAACTTCAATTGATTAAAGACCTGGGTGGTTTCATGAAACCGGGACCAATTCACCTGTTTTTTTAGCAAAAGCAATTATTGGGGTAAGATCGAACCGGCCATGGTCCCGGGTCATAGTTCAACTGGTCCGACTGGCCGGTCCAGTCCAGTTTTCTAAACACTAGTTATGTCTTGGGTGAGGAAGAGTAACCTTTTATGACTTGAAATTTTCTATTTCTAGCCTTCTAAGGTTATGATGAGAACTTTGAAGTTGTTATTGGGAAACTAGGCAAAGATTTGGATAGGAAAAGAAAATAGGATGGGAAGTGTATTTTTTTAAAAGGAGAGAAAGGTAAGAGTAAGCTTTCAGTTAACCAAAAAAGATGAATAATTCAAAAAATGGTCAGTTGGTGCATGTGACGAAGGCTTTTTCCCGGCTGAAAGAAGGTGTCCGTGGTGCTGGCCCGTCTAATACATTTAAGAGAGTGTATAAGAGAAAGAAAGGGAAAAAGGTAAAGTGGGGGTGTCTGATGATCCTCAGTCTTCTCAGGTTCAAGATTTTTGTTTGAAGGAGTCTGGAGGTGTTCTTGATAGCCAAGCTGACACTACTTGTCAAGCTTCTAATCAAGAGGAAGAGAAAGATGGCTCTGAAGCTAGGTTGGGGATCACAGAAAATCCTGCTCAGGCCCTTGAAGCGAGAAAATACAGAAGAAAACCTGTTGAAGACCTTGAAGATAGAGAATATTTGGGCTCAAATGTTTTGCTGCAGGAGGAGGAAGAGGAAGAGGAAGAGGAAGTGGAAGTGGACAAAACTTGTGTTGTTCAAAGAAGGGTTGACTGGGAAGAGGTTGCTAACAAGGAGGTGGAGGTGAGTAAAATATTGGGGATTTGTTTCTTAGAGGGTGAGGAGTTTGCAAGAAAATTCTTTAGAGAAGCTGAAGAAAATGGTTATCGATTTTGGAGGAAGAAAGTTTTGGAGGTAGTGGGAGCTGAAGATTTTTTCTTTTGTTCTTCTTTGGGTGAGTAAAGAATTGTAATTGTGTGGAGTAGGTTCTAAGATTCAAAAGCATATGGGGTTTGTGTTTCTGTTTTGTAGGGTTGCTTTCAGGGGTGGCTTTTCTTTCTATTTGGTATGATTTCTTATCACCTCTGTTTGTATTCCTTCTTTTTTTCTGATGAATTTTCTTTTCTACTTATTTTCAATAAAAAACAAAGAGGTTATGATGAGAACTTTGCATGGAGTTTATTCAGTACACTACAGATCAAATATATTTGTCAATGTGACTCTTAGCATATAGTTGGGTTAGTGGAGCAAACCATTTAACTTACCTGCTTTGGCTCCTATCTTAGTGGAAGAAGCTATTCAAAATTCAAATATTATTCTGTTTCCAGACACATTTGTGATGGCTCTAAGAATGAAGCAAAAAAAAAAAAAAAACTTCAAGGTTTATGCAAGGCTTGAAATTGTTTGAACTTTGAAGCCAGAATATGGCATGTGGTGAAGCCAGTTGCATCTTTTAGCTATGGTTATAGGGTTAAGAACAGAAACAGCTTGTGTTGAATGCAATTCTTACTTGAAAGTGGCTGAATTGGTATGTCTCTTATTATTGTGTAAAGGTAGACTGTTTTAAACTGTAAAAAATTTAGCTGTTTGACTTAATTTATTCTTTCACTGCTGAGTTCAATGTTACTGATCAAAAGTAATGGAGTTTAAAATTGCATGAACAGATGAATAGTGATAAGTTTTGGGTGAAGTGGTTAGTGGTGTAGGATGCATAGCCAACATTCCTATGAACACTTGGTGGGTGCCAAAAATAGGGATTGTTATAAAAAGAGAAGAAGATAAGCAGAACTTTGGTAACGATAAGGTTTTAAAGCTACAATTTAGGACTATGAAGATGGGGATAGGGCTAAGGAAGGTTTAAGATGAGGATTGAAGAGACAAAGGATCAGAAAGAGATGGCTTTCTCCATTTCAACCTGGGTGACCAGGGTTCAAATCTTGGAAAGAGCCTCTCTGTGTCTGCATGTTACTATAATTACATAACTGCCACTGCACACCCAGTTAAGAGAAAAAAATGCTATAACTTCAAATAAACCCTAACAGTTACCTAATTAACAACTTAAGATGACCGACCCTACATTGAAAATTAAAATGATGAAATTACTCCCATGACTCAAAATTTAGAAAAAAAAAATGGAAAACTGAAAGTTCCTGAACTTCACTTTACAGCCACTCTGACTATGTATATGGTAAATAGTATATTATATTCACTACTAGTGTCTCTAAAGCTAAAAAGGGTGAACTGAATTTTTTTGTACAATTAAATTTTCTCTCTGCTCCAGAATTCAATCTATATCCTGTTAATCAGTCGTATGTCCTAACCATTTCCTGGATATTTGTCCTTTGGAAGCCAATCACCAACAACTAACAAGGTTCCATGCTCCCACCAATGAACAGACCAGCTTCCATGATTGAGACATACAAACATAGACACAAAAGAAGAAGGTTATTGCCTTCTGATTAATAGGTTTGCAGGAAAACAATAGTTGGTGTTTCCATGTCCCAAAATCATTCCATGATTGTTTTCTACATGGATGGGTTTATTGTTTTAATTGGATGATGACTGAAGAGGAAACATTGAGCAGTGAAATGTTGCTTGAAAGCTTGACCTGTTTCACCAAAAAAAAAAAAAAATCTGGACTGTATACACTACACCTAGATACCTGGTTAGCTAAATGTTTATATTACTATATTAATTATGCAATATGGATTGTTGTTCCATAAAACCTTGAAACCCGTGATCTAAAGAATTCAATGTTGGAGGAGCAGACATGGTCTCTGGCACATAATTGGTTGGGGTATAACTGTATGGATGACTGTTCTTGTCCATTCTTAGGGGAGTGATTGTTAAATGGAACTTGCATAACTGCTATTCCCTTTGCAGGAAAGGAAACCATTCACCAATTATATGGCACAAGAGTGGCAGTACTAGCAGGAGACTTCATGTTTGCACAGTCATCATGGTACCTTGCAAATCTTGAAAACATCGAAGTCATAAAACTTATCAGCCAGGTCTACAAGGAAACTGCTTATTTTATTGATAAAAGAATCTCATCATGGAACATAGTGAAATTTACTACTGCTTATTGTTATTTGTATTATGGCAGGTCATTAAAGATTTTGCAAGTGGTGAAATAAAGCAGGCATCAAGCCTTTATGACTGTGATGTTGAACTTGAGGAATATTTGATCAAGAGCTATTACAAAACAGCTTCTTTAATTGCTGCAAGCACCAAAGGTGCTGCTATTTTTAGTGGGGTGGATAGTAGCATATGTGAAAAAATGTTTGAATATGGAAGGAATCTTGGCCTATCATTCCAGGTAGTTGATGATATATTGGATTTCACTCAATCATCGGAACAGCTGGGAAAGCCAGCTGCTAGTGATCTGGCAAAAGGAAACCTAACTGCACCTGTTATTTTTGCTCTAGAAAATGAGCCAAAACTTAGAGAAATCATTGAATCTGAGTTTGTTGAAGATGGATCCTTAATTGGGGCTATTGAATTGGTTAACAAGTCTGGGGGAATTGAGAGAGCACAAGCTTTAGCAAAGGAGATAGCTGATCAGGCAATCCAGTGCCTCCAATGCCTTCCTACAAGTGACTTCAAATCTGCTCTTGAAGGGATGGTAAAGTACAATCTTGAGCGAATTGATTAGATGCAAAACAACAATACAATCAAAACGAGTAATGGTACTCTTCTCCAAAGTCTTTCTGTCAGTGATGCAATTGCATTCTCTTCTTCATGATGTTGATTACATTTGCTTAAATATTTTCTCTTTGTATACTATTCTCTTCATTTCTTTGATTTATCTGTATTTTATGTGATCTAGTGTTGTTCAATAACAATCTTGAAGCACAGAAGCTAAAGCAACTATTTAATGCCCCACTCCTTGGTGACAAGGGTTAAACTTGCTATCTCTGCTACTATGATAACTATCCTATGAAATAAAAAATCATCATCTTGCACCATGGCAAGTATTTCACAGTATGAAATGGTGAGGTGTTATACTTGATCCCTCTGCGCTTATAAGAAGTCCCCAAGTACAATGAATGGATTTGATATGTTTCACAGATGCATAAAGAGATTCATCTATGAAATCATGGTGTAATGAATGCAGGTCTAAAGTAGAATTGTAATGTGTTCATCTACACCTTATCCAAGATATGCTAAAACACATAATAATGATTCTGTATGTATGCTTATACCCTGTTTGGATTCTCCATGAACTGAAATTATTCCATTGTAGTTTTCTTTTCATTTCAGAGGTGAGGGGACATGTTTTCCATGATTCTTGATAAAATGTTGCAATGAGGTCATAAGGTTTTCAAGAAAATGAAGCAAGTCAATAAAGCTGGAAGTCTAAAACAAAATGATCCCTTTCCACAAAGCATTCCCTATTATTGACTTCAAGCCATTATTTGCCAAGTCGTTGTTCCCAAGACTTCTAATTGACCATCAAATGAACTTTTCATCCCACTGATATTCTATCAAAATATAAACTATCTGGTTTTAGATTGAAATGCCATTAGGGTTTCACTTTAGTAATATTTTATTTTGTACTTTGAATTTGGGATGCTTTTGGAGGCAACTTTTTTTTATAAAATTAATAAATTCTCTAGAAATTCATTGTGTTAATAGTTAAGTTTCAAATGACTCATATGCGCTTAGAAGCATTAATTGTTTGGAGTTATTTCTTAAATAGGGAAGTTCCTTTTAATGGATGACTAAGGGGCCCTTTGATACTGAACTGAAAAGCTTATTGCTTTGTCTTTTAGTGAATAAGTTTTTAAAGAGGTTGTGGGCTCCACGGCTGAAACTGAAGTTGGGTATATCATTATACATTAGAAAATTTTACTATTTAATTATTTTATCAACCAAAAGAAAAGCAACAAGTCTTTCGCTTCAGCAACTTCAGCCATTATCAACGACCCTTTAGAATTTAGTTTCAGAAGTTTTCTTCCTGACGTAGACAATAATGATGTTTTATTAAGATCTGAATGGAATTTAGATTATTTTGTGATAGAGGTCAGGTTTCTTGTTGTTAGGTATTGTGAGCAACTGTCGGTCCTGCTTACTGTTAATACTGAATATGGCTCAAGGAGGCTGTGCTCGTGGTTAGAATCACTTTGAGGTTTTGACATTTTAACCGTAAGAAGGGTATTAACAATTGATAAAACCCTTTCTTCCTACGCTCCATTTGGAAGGAGTATAAATACAAATACGTAGAGTGTAAAACTTTATATTTTGTATTATTTGTCCTGTATATATTTGTATTTGTGTTCTTTCTAAATTGAACCTAAATCGCTATATTAGATGTATCCAAAGGTTCAAAAACCGATACATTTTTTTTTACCTCAAACTTTACTCCATGTGGAGGTGGAGGGGCAGTCATCTTGCAAATTTGTTAATCATTATCCAAGGGAGAACAAAAAGAAAGCAAAACACTCCCCATTACTATCTCAGGCATACAAAAAGAAAACAAAACAAGCAACTCAACTATTACAACAAAACCTAATTCTAGCTGAAGGGAGACCACATTGATCTTCATAAATTAGGACTCTTATATTGAAAGTTAGTTCAGTGATGGAATAATACCATTAGAAATACCTCTATTCGCTAGACCACCATTAGAAACCACATTGAATGGTGCAACCCATTAGTCAAAGTCTTGAATCTTGATCTTGTTGTAGATGTAGTAAACGACCAAGGGATGAGACTCTTACCTGTCATGATGTTAATCATAGTGCTATTGTCACTCTCGATCTCAATGTTCAAGTAACTTAAACCGATACATCTTTGAATACCATCCAAAACAGCTAGAAATTTAGTTTGCAAGGATTTAGAGTCATCATATGAGTTAGAAAAACCAATAAGAAAAATTCCATTGCTTTCCCTTATCACTCTTCCACCTCCCCCTGGACCAGGATTTTCCCTTCAAGAGCCATTAGTATTGAATTTTACATATCCTTCTTGGGGATGTTTCCAACAAATCCACTTAGTTTTACACTCTATTGAGTTTTACATATCCTTCTTGGGGACTTTAAACAACTAATAACCATCTACCATTAGTGGCCTTACTCTCATAGGTTTGTCTACATCTTTCAACACACACTTCCCAAAGAATTAGAAAGGGGATGATGGTCAAGACCTGACTTCGTTGGTCTTGGCCAACGATCTCTAATGTATTGTGTTTGAAAAGTAAAAATTTCAAACACCCCACTAAAGTAGTTCTAACACTTCATTGGCAATGTACCATACTAAATAGCTAATCTAGATATTCATAACCAAATTGACTGCAACATCTACACCTAGAAGCTAGATAGACACCTTTGGGTTTAATCCATTCATCCACAACAATAGAGTTGTATATGAACCTCCACATAAAGATTGAGATTTTTCAGGGTAAGCCAAGTTTCTAAATAAACTTGTTCCAGTTAACCTTTTCATAGTTCCATATAATTAATTACCTCCCAAGCTGAAGATATTGAAAATTCACCATTAGTATTACCTTTCCACATTAGATTGTCATCAGTACTTAGAATTTTGAAACCTATTCAATTACCAAATCCCAAACCTCTTCACTTAATGGAAACTCCACAAAGAAATTCCAATCCCCTTACAATTCAGAACTCCGTTTGGTTTAAAGTCAACATAATCTTGTAGTTGAAAAAAAAAAAAAAAGGAGAGCCACTATGATACTTTTAACCTTATTATTGAATGACTTCTAAGAATCAGGATCTTGTCTCTTGGTCTTTGAGTTTGGATAAAGAAGATTAAGGCCATGTTTGGTTCATTGCTCTGTGCCTCATTCTCTTAATTCTTGCTTATTATAGGCAAGAATAGGTAAGAATGAATAACATTCAAGTGTTTGGTTACAAAGTTTTTGCCATGGGCTACATTCTTTTTAGAATGAAAAATCAGCCCCACAACACAAAAATTACTAGCCTGTAGCATGAAAAATAATCATGCTCCATCTTGCTTATTTCATTCTTTGAAGAAACTCCACCTATAAAACTGTTGCCATAGATATTTACTTTTGCAAAAGCACTTTTACAAAAGTACTTTTACGAAAGCACTTTTACGGAAGTACTTTTATAAAAACACTTTTATAAAAGCACTTTTACAAAAGTATTTTTATGTATAAAAGCACTTTTATGGAAGTACTTTTACGAAAGCACTTACAAAAGCACTTTTATAAAAGAACTTTTACGAAAGTACTTTTATGGAAGTACTCTTACAAAAGTACTTTTATGAAAGTACTTTTATAAAACACATTTACAAAAGTACTTTTACAAAAGAACTTTTACAAAAGCACTTTTACGAAACTGCTTTCATGAAAATACTTTTACAAAAGTACTTTTATAGAAGTACTTTAGCACTTTTACAAAAGCACTTTTACGAAAGTACTTTTATAAAAACACTTTTGTGAAAGTACTTTTACAAAACATCTATGCCAATTGATAAACATTAACAATTGGAGACCTAGGCTGGCGGTTTGTTAATACCGGCACAATTTTTTTTTTTAAGAATGAAAATGAGCAACATAGGATACTTGTCGGTCTGAAAAGAATTCATTTTTAGGAAAAAAGTGTTTGGTTCATAGCAATATTTTCTCATTTTGCCTATTTTTACCTATTCTTTTCTATTTTAGAATTTCATTTTAGGTAAGAATGAGAATTGAACCAAACATAGCCTAAAACTTTTCAAATTTCCCATTCTATTCCAAAATAGTCAACTCCAAATCCAAAACAAGGAAAGAATAAACTACAGTGTAAAACCTTTTAGTTAAGGCCTAGGTGGATTGCGTAGGTTATGGAATGTATTACAACGGTATCTTATAAAATTCTTGTCAATGGGACTCTGGGGACTATAATAAAACCTGACAAGAGGCTAAGGTAGGGTGATCCCCTATCACCCTACGTATTCCTTTTTGTCTCTCTAGCCTTATCTACAAAGTAAAATAATCTCGTTGCAAAAAACCAAATGGGATAAAGCTAAATAGAAACTGCCCTATCATCTCGCACTAAATTTTTTTTTTTTTTTTTTTTTTTTGCAAATGATGGTTACCTATTCGTTAGAGCTGATCCTAAGGAAGGGCATGTCACCTTGGAGGCTATCCACAATTATGAGAGGGCTTCTGGACAGTAGGTAAATTTGACAAAATTTGAGATTTTTTTTCAACATAAATATGCATCCTAGGCTCCAAAAAATGATGGCAAAATTGCTAGGAATTAAAAAAGTTGATCACTCAATTTATTTGGGGTTACCTACTAAAATTGGAAGATCAAAAAAACATCTCTTTAATTTCATTGTGGAGAGAGCTGGAAAAAGAACCCAAAGCTGGAGAACTTTGCTACTGTCCTCAGCTAGAAAAGAGGCTATTAAAGTCGGTCATAACAACAATCCCATCATACACCATGTCTTGCTTCCTCCTACCCATGTCAATGTGTGAACACCTGAAAAAAAAAGTCCTTAGAAAATTCTGGTGTAATGCGAAGAATTCAAAAGGTAAAATCCACTGATTGAACTAGAAGAAAATCTGTAAAAATAAATTAAATGGAGAACTAGGCTTTAGAGATCCTCATTGCTTTAACCTAGTCCTTCTTGCAAAGCAATTTTGATGTTTATGCACAGAGGAAAACAGCTTGTGGGCCAAGATCATGAAGGCCAAATATTTGAAAAATAAAAGTTTTTTTTTTTTTTTTTATTCGAGTTTGCTAAAGAAAGGGTCTTAGGAGTAGAAGAGCTTATTGGCCACTAAGGGAATTCTCCAACAAGGATGCTGTTGAAATACAAACTCAGGTCACAAGGTCAAAATCTGGGATGATCCTTAGATCGCCTCGATTTCGGGCTTCAGAATTCAAGGTCCAAGGCCTCCAAACCAAACTGACTTAGTTGTTAAAGATTTAATGTTGGAGGAAAGAAGGGGCTGGGATGAACAAAAAATTAAGGACCTGTTCACTAACTTCTTTGCTGAAAAAATTATTAACATACCCCTAGCTGTAGGGAGTTGGGAGGATAGGATACAGAGAATGATAAATTCTTTGTGAAATCTGCTTATGGGGTGGCTTTGAACAGTATTAAGAGAATGGGCTGTAGAATTGGGAGTGAACCAAGAGGGATGGGAAAAGGCCAATGGAGTTGGATCTGTAGATCTCAAAATTAAATCTTTTATCTGAAAATACCATTGAGAAGTTATAGATGTTAAAGAAAATTTAACAAAAAGGAAGATGGCAGATTCAAGTGTTTGTTGAGCCTGAATCAATTATCCATGCTTTATTTCTCTGTCACCATGCAAAAGCGACGTGATTTGTAAGCCTCTTATTATAACCTTATTTCAGCTCGTGGCTTATTTTCTGGTTTGAAGAGTAGTGTAACAGGTGGGGGAGAGGAGGGATATGAAATCCTCTCCATTTCAACTATTTTGCTCTCGCTAATATGGAAAAACAGGAATTATTTTGTGTTTAATAATGTGATTTCTAATCCAATTTGGATCTGTCTCTGTAGCTGTGGCTAGTACTTAGTAGGAAGATGAAGGATATGAGCCAGATTTTTCAACAAGACTAGCGGTTTTCTTCCCCAACAACTTATCAAAGAAAATTGAATGCTTTTTGGTCTCCCTTGGTTTTGGTGTGTTGAAAGTTAATACAGACCATATTGGTGTGCTAGTGGCTGTTTGTTTGAAAGTTAATACATCATTGCCATGTCGAAAAAACGGTGCTCCAGGAAATATCAATTTGTTTGAAATCGTTTTTCCATAAAAAATGGTGTTTCAAACTATGCCTTAAAATCGAGAAAGCGTGGTTTGAAGTAACGCTAATTTAATGTTCTCTTGTATTGCATCTCATTGCTGCCAATAAGAACATAATGTGGCAATGACATGGACTTCCTATAATAGGTATCAATGCTAAAAACAAAAGTATTGTTGTTGCTCCAAAAAAAGTCATACATGATAACAATATTTTCAATTAAAAAAAAGACACCATTTTCTCAAAAACGAAATTTCCACTCACATGATACGCATCGTTTTTTCAAAAAATTGTATTGTATACGCAGCATCGATATCGATGCCAAAAATAAAAATAAAAATAAAACCTTTGAACCCGATTCAGTGACATAAAATTGGCCACTTGATAAAACAAGTTGTGGATCCAACGGCTCCAGAACTCTATTGAAACATTGAAGGAGTCCCCACTCCGATATCCTGCCGTAGATGTGAGCCACGTATACCCAATAGTTAGGAAGGACAGATTTGTATGGTCCTACTCCTATCTATGTAAACCTCATTTTGTCTTCCGGCCAGTAATCTCTCACCCCAGTGGCCCTAGCAATCAAGCCTAGATGAAGGTCATCGCCGCGTACCTGCTCGCCGTCCTCGGCGGAAACCTCCAGCCCTCCGCCGATGACCTTAAGAGCATCCTCGGATCAGGTAGAGAAATCTAAGTTTTTTTTTTTTTTCTTCTGATATGGGGTTAGAGTTTTCTTTCTTTATTTGTATTCTAAATCTTGTTTTATATTTATTTTTCAGTTGGGGCTGAAGCAGAAGATGACAGATTAGAGCTCCTTCTTAGTGAAATAAAGGGGAAGGACATCACGGAGCTAATTGCCTCTGGTAGGGAGAAACTGGCTTCGGTTCCTTCCGGCGGTGGTGTTTCTGTCGCTATTTCTGCTGCCGGTACTGGAGATGCCGCTGCTGCACCTGCTGCGGCCGAGTCGAAGAAGGAAGAGAAAGTTGAAGAGAAGGAAGAGTCTGATGAGGTATTTCTTCGAATGAGTCAACTACAACGCACTCTTATTTTCATGCTTTGGGATTTGCATATGTTTGTTGGCTGCTTGAATAATGCCTTCTGGTTGTTTTTTTTTCGGTTTTCTGTTATTTGCAGGACATGGGCTTCAGTTTGTTCGATTGAGGAATTAGGGCTGTTAAATTTCTGTTTATTGGTAGGTATTAGAGTTCCAATCACGCCTAATTGTTTCTTTCCAGTTTGAACATTTTTGAGAAGATATTAATTGTTGATTGGTCAACTTTTGAATAATTTTGTTTTCATGTCAACACAATTTTGATCGTTCTGTTTACATTCCACCCTGTGAAAGTGAAACTGAGATTAATTCCATTGGGTTAAGATGATATTAAAATCAATGAAGCTTTCTGCAAATCATGAATACATTGGTCACAGTTGTACTACAAATTAGAGTGCTCTACCATGAAAATTTCCATGTGAAAAAACCTATATTAGTGGGTGCATGCAACATAGCTAGATTATACTGTCTATCCATTAGTGCAATTCTGTGCTGTCTACCAATGAAGATGGGTCGTCATTTGATTGTTTAGTACTTAAATAGTCCCACTTATCAATAACTTTATCAGAGAAAAAAAGACGATAAATGATAGTAATTGTATGAAGTAAGCTTCTCACTGGTCATTCTTCCACATCTAGTGTATATGTTGTTATTTGGTTGAAATTAAGACATTGCATTTGTGGAATCATCTATTTGGGATGAAATTATAATACAATTGAGTTCCAGAAGTCTACAGCATTAGAGGTAAATGTAATATCACTGGAATAACTTGATATAACCTGTGGAATTTGGAATTTGGCATAGGACTTATCTGCCTATATATTCAGTGAGAGAAAATATCAAGTTTGCCATTGCTTAGTAGTTAATATATCTGACTGGAGGGTTCTGGAGCAATAGGAGATTGGATATAGATGTTTTGGTCTTATTTTTTTTTCCAATATTGGTGGTTGTCATCTGTGTGAAACATGATATGAATCCTGAAGAATGTTGAGTTATTGTTTATGTAAGTAGGTCTTTCAAAAAAAAAGTTTATGTAAGTAGGAAACAAGTGTTGAAACTTGAGATGTGTCTTCTCTTGCTAGTGAGTGAATTTATACCCATTTTAGAGAGTTTGAATCTGCTGCACTTGCTGTGTAGCCTGTGTATTCCAATTTCTGATGGACAAGTGAGCCCTTGGTAAACAAGTCTGGACGCCCATCCATCACTGAATGAGGGCCTGTTTTGAAGGGTTGAAGCTTTAATTGACCTGCTTTAACTGAGCCGCTTTGAAGAAGCTACTAAAAACAGCCAATGTTTTGGTTGAATGACAATGTATTTGGGCTTTCTGAGTTTTTCACCAAATATAGCTTTTATAGGCTGTCCATGTGGAGTCCACCTCACAAAGCCAGAATCCGTTGCATGAAAGCAGCCCAAAGCAGACCCCCCCTTCCCCCCAACGATGAAACGAAGGTTTGAATGTCTTGGCCTGTAACTGTGTAATTAATTTTCTGTTTCAAAACCATTGTTTAAGTTTCCCTCAAATACAGTTTCCGGTTGCGTCTGATCAATATGGAAAATCAAATTGTTAATCTAGTAATGTATTATTCTGGCAACTGTCATTGTTTGGCCTTAGCAAAGGGTATGAAACTCCCTTTGCTTCTGGTTCAAAGTAGGTTGTTTACCCATATGGTCTTTATTAGGGGTGAGTAAATGGGTAGGTTCTGCGTGGAATTGAATGGAATTGACTGGATTGGCCTTGATCAGACCTTACTGAATCTGCTACCAGGTAGGGTCTGGTTCCAAATTCTTGGAACTGAACCCCCACCCAAGCTGGTTCTAGGGTCTATAGGTTTATTTTACCTGAATCAACCTAAAGAGCTTAGGGAACTGGCTTTGGTGGAACCGGCCTTGGGAACTAAACTTGCCTGAAATAAATCCCAAAAAAACTTCAAGGATGTGAAGATTTGAACTCAAGCCCTCATGGTTATATAGATTAAAGATCTCAACTTAATCAATAAAAGGTAATGTAAATTTTGAACTATATTAATAATTTAATATAAGTTTCAAAACTTATTTTGAAATCAAGTTTTTAAAGAATAGGTTCCAATGTTCCATGGTCTAACCCATGGGGCCAATCCAACTGCGGGCCTATTTTTCTAAACCGAACAGGTAGCATTAGTTTTTCAAAAACCATGAACCGAAATCAATTGGTTAACCAATTGATCGGTTTATATATATATACCAGTTGGTTTGGTTGACCAAAATATAGGGTTTGGTTTCATTGGTTCAGTTCTTTTTTTTTTTTTTTATGAGCACCCTTACTGAAAGCCCTCCCAAACTTAAATGGGCACTAATTTATTGTGATTGTTGCTCGACCTAATTTTTTCCTTTCTCGTTGGTTGGTAGTAATGACAGTGACAGATGGTTAGGGGAAAGAGTGAATAAAAGTTAATGAATATTTTGAAATTTCTAGTGAAAATCCCACTGAAAAATTCCCACTAATCTAAAAAATTGGATTGACTATTTAAGGTGTGAATCCATTTAGACAATGTGATTATCAATTCTAAATTGTAAGGTGATGGGATTCCCCGTAAGCAAAATCTCTACTTATGCAAGCAAAGGAATTCTATTGCACATTGGGAACATTTTCCCATGAATTTAATGGGAGATATTCCCGATGTGCAGTTAGATGCTATATGCATAGATATTTAGGGGTTGACAAATTTTGGGGGTTAAGTTTTTTTAAAAGGTTTTAAGAATTAATCTTGGGATATAAAGTAATTTTGGAAGCTTCATTCTTCGAATCTTGCTTTCAAAATGGGGAATAATGGTTGAGAACAAAGGTTAAAACAGCTGACCTAATTCATGCTTAATGAGTAGCTTCCTAAGCCATTAAGCAAGGGGCTAACGGAAGACAATGAATTTATATATATAAGTGCATTAACCTGTTTGATCTATCATAAACCCGAGTCAAACCAAACCGGTTTAGACCAATTATCCACTTAATCAAAGCTATTTGCATTAATTAAGTGCTAAAACATTCTAGAATAATAGTTAATGGCCAAAATGAAGAAAAACAAAATAAAGGCTCAGTTTGGAAGGAGTACAAATACAAATACGTAGAGTGCAAAACCTTATATTTTGTATTATTTTCTATGTTGGCATTGTACATATTTGCATTTGTACTCTTTCCAAACTGAGTCAAAGGAAAATTTTAGAATTCAGGAAGCCCAAAATATTGTAAATAGGGGCTCCGTACCCATATGGGGACTCACTAATAACACATCTATTATACTCATTAGGGGGAGACTACCCATATTTTCTTTCTCCACCTTTTCCCTTCCTTCCTCTTTCTCCCTCCCTTTCTTTCTCTCTTTTTTTTTTTTTTTTTTGGCAATCACCGACAAGCTTCCATAGCCATT